AAAATGATGACGGTTGGGTTTACTATCTCAGAATAATGAAGGGCCAAGAAAAAATTGTTAAGCGCATACCGGATAAAGACATAAATGACGACGATTTCTTGTGGGTTTCTGGGAATGTCGAAGACCAGAATTCTCAAATATCGGCTATAACATAAACTAGAACAAGAGGGTGCTTGGTGAGAATAATTCGGCTTCTCTTTCTGTGTGACAAAACCTGTACTACTATTCAGCCGTACTAACACTTGCAATTCTCGCAGATTTGAATCGTTTGAAAACTCATTACGTTTATGCCAACCAAGTCGCACTATGCGCCGCGCTACGGTACCGCCACCGTGACTATATCGAGCTATTAGGGGTTAAACCGTCCTACCGCTGTAGTGGCAAAAGAAAAAGCAAAGACACCGATTTTCTACTTGAGTTGTCGCCCGAACTGGACCCCAATCTCCTCCAGATCAATAATGTTCCTCTCACCAAAGAACAAGAAATGGCCAAAAAATGGGCCATTCGTGCCTTGATTACCAAGCAGGCCTTTACCTCCAATACTGAGGTCTAACCCGAGCTACCGCCGACTAGTCAACCACGCGATGCAGTTGTGGCTTTTTTATCCAACCATACTATTGCATCTCGTCATAGAAAAAAGCCACGCACTAGCTCAGCCGTGCCACAACGCCTAGTTGATAAAGACCTTGAGCCGTTGGAAACCGAGCTGGCTAAGACCGCATTACCCTAAGGGAGTCGAGGCTTCGGCGGTGCTAGTCCTTCCTCTCCTCCGACGTGGGCACCAACCATGACCTTCAAAGGTCGTGCTGTGACTACGCAAGATTCCGTGAGTGCTAAAAAGTATCACCTTTTGGCCTTCAACTTAGCCAAGAGTGTCTGCCTGCCAGCCGACATGGAGCGACACTGCAAAAGCAAGGTGCAGAATGCCCAATTCTTTACACCTAGGATAATAATAAAAGTACCAACAGCAGCTCTATTATGAAGGAGACAATGAAAACTTTCCATGACAAGTAAGAATAGATAAGGAGACATAGGGTCACCCTGTCTAATCGCCCTTAGCTGGAAAGTAATCAACAAGCTCCCCATTAATCACTACTGAGTACATGACTGAAGAGATACATTCTTTAACCCAATTAACAAACTTTTGGGGAAAATCCATAGCAACCATTGTATCAAGAAGAAAGTCCCATGCAACTGAGTCATAAGCATTCATAAGGTCAATCTTCAACATACATCTACCAGGCCCCTTACTTTTATGAAAACCTCTAGCTAGCTTTTGCATCATAAGAACATTATCCACTATGTAATGTACCTTCCCTTAATGAAGCTGATTGGGATGAATTGATTAGAACAGGCATCACTTTTTGCAATCTGCTGGATATTATTTTTGCAATTCACTTATAAAGTAATATTGTAACAAGAGATTGGTCTAAAATCTTTGACAGTGATGGGGGACTTTACTTTGGGAACCAAAGATATAGCAGTGCTATTCCATGCTTTATGCATTGAACCAGTATGAAAAAATGACTTCACAGCAGTCTTTACATCAGACCCCACAATATACCAATTAGCTTGGCAAAACCTTGCATTATACCCATCTGGAACTGGAGCTTTCCCCCCCTAATGCTGAACATAGCAGTCTTAATTTTATCATCAGTGACAGCCTTAATGAGATCAGTTCTGGAACAGTGCTGTACTTTGGGTAAACCCAGACTTTGGAAAGCATCTAAATCTGTGTATCTACTGGAAAAAGCTGAACCCAACAACTGCTTATAGAAATCAATAATCTTTTTGATAGAATCATGGTCTTCCGATAAAACCCCATCTCTACTCTGAACTAACTTGTTGGTGCATAACTTTTTATGAAAGTAACTAGTATTTTGGTCACCCAACTTGAGCCATTGCACTCTAGATTTTTTCCTTTTAAAAGACTCCTCAGCAAGGCTTAGTTCTGCATACTTAGAGAGTAACTCAGATCCAACCTTCACTAGGTTATCATTGAGAATAATATCTGTATTCTGACTCTGAAATTGCTCAAGATTAGCTTTTGCTTCTGCTACTCTCTTAGAGATATCAGAAAAATGAGCACGATTAAGCTTCCTCAAGATGGGTTTTAGCCTTTTCAATTTGAATTGCAAAACCTGCATGGGGGAACCACTAGTAGGAAGCAGCCAGGACTGAGTTAATAAACCAATAAAAGTTTTATGTAACATCCAAAAATCAAAGGATTTGAAGATTTCCTCATGACATGGTCTTTAGAAATGGACACAACAAGCAGACAATGATCAGAAGAAATACCAGGATGAAGGGCCACAGCTTCAGAATTTGGAAACAACTCCAGCCATTTCGGATTAATGCAGAACCTATCCAGCCTGCTTTTCGTGCTTCCCATACCATCCTGCTTACTAGACCATGTAAACCAGGCACCTTTGGTAGCAATTTCAGTAGCATCAATATCATTGAGACAATAGTTAAAATCACCAACTGGACTTGGATCCCAACAATACCATCCATCCTTTGAGAAAAATGTCCAACAACATTGAAATCACCTAAAATAATCCAGGGCTTATCATCCACCATATATTTGAGATTCCTCAAATCAGACCATGAGCTCCTCCTAACAGTAGGACTATTAGAACCATAAACAACGGAAACATAAAAGGACTCTTGACAAGAACTCATTTGTGCTAATACTGTAATAGATTGAGGAGAAATACCAACAGGCAAGACCCTCAAGGTTAGAGAGTTCCATAACAAAAAAATTCTAGCAACACCCTGATTCTCAAAATTATGAAGAAAGGACCATTTAGAAGGTAAGAAAGGACCATTAGGTCCCCTAATATTCCGTACTCCTAACTTCATTTATGAGAACAAACTCCACCCCATTTACCCTTAGGTTTCCTCCCCCGAGGCTTAGCTTTAACTTGTTCCAACACCAGAGGGTTGGAAGAATTCCCTCTAGGACTATGACTATCACCCTCCACATATACATTAACAGGGAAAGAATGTAGAGAAAGAATCTTATCATTTTGCATACACTGATCTGGAAAACAGCTCTGCCCTGACTTAGAACCTTCCTGAACAGATGAACAGCTTTTATCAGAACCTCATTAATAGTTGGAACAACCTCTTCTACCTGGGCCTTATCCATCAGAGGACTAGACCATTCCACATTCACAGTACTGCCCTCAGAAGAGGCCACCTTTGTTGTCATTGGCAATATGTACCTTGGGTAGTTGATCAGACTCCTCTGCTACATTTTCCAAGATGGAAAACATATTGCTAACTCCAGCGGTACTATTGTTATGTAATATGGGAGCCAGAAGATGCAGGGTGACTGACAACATTTTTACCTTTGTCTTGCTGTACAACCCATTCAGCTTTCACGGCCTTGTCATTAGCACAAGAATTTTTCTTACATTTAAGCTCACTATGGCCAAAAACATGACAAGAAGAGCATTTCACTATGGCTCATGAAGGATTGAAGTGGCATGTGGAAGAGTTTGAGCTAGACGCCTCCCATGAAGAACAAATGTAAAGTTCCTCCTTCACACCATACTTATCGTGATGTTTCACTGGATCTAGAAGCATGACGCTCATGCTAATGCTAATGCTAAGAATATGTTTGGCTTTTATTTGTCGGGCCAAGAACGTTGGTAATTTATGGAACTTGTACCACATCTTGGCTCAAGTCTCCGCCTGAACTTGGACTGTTGAGCACCTTCTTTTCCCATTTCTCTATTAAAAAGAAATGCCTTTAATTTCTAAATAATTGTTAGAAAAAAAAAAAAAAAATCTCTTTCGTTTTTCTCATTTTTTGTTACACAGGATGATATATTCTGTTACATGTGTACGCATGCCTTAAAATAATGGAGTATTGAACTTGAAATAATGCATTGACAAATCTTTCATACAATAAAATTGTTTTTGTAGCTTTATTGTGCGAATATACCTTCTTTGGACATGCTATAACGTCATATGATATGATAATATGCAGTTCTTTCTGTACTTTTTCTCGTCCATTAAAATGTTTGATCTTGAACTCAGTTACTTGATCAAGAATATGTGAGACAAAGGCTCCGAACTATGTTGCAGTCATTTCTTTTTTGTTATGCCATGCTCTAGAACATACATTAATGGTAGTAGAGTGTGATTGGATGGTTTTTTATTTTTATTTTTATTGTCTTCCTACTGTGTCTCTATTACTAATTCTGAAAGGAACCATGACAGCTATGTTACATTTGTGAATATTTGTTCCTTTTCTCTCAATTATATGATTCAATCAATGTGAACAACTACAATTTATTAGAGTACATACTATGTATTCTTCATTATCACATGAAATCTCTTGCATATAGAAATTGGGCTAAAGCTGAGGGCTTCATTTGTTTCATTAATTTACTAATTGCATATTCTCCTTGCTGTTGGGCTTCATTTAGTTAATTCGCTGATAAAGTTTTTTCCTTGCAGTTCTATGGCTTCATCTCTCCCAAGCTTAATCTTGTAAATATGAAAGTAGATTTCTTAAATAGAAATGTTAACGAAGGATTTAGCGGTGGTGAAAGGAAACGCAATGAGATTTTACAACTTGCGGTATTAATTTATTTTACCTGTATTTGGTTCCTTGTGTGTTACTGACCTAAAAAAGTAGTGTTCTTTTCCTTTTTTTTGGTTTTCCACTAATTTACTGTGCTATTGGAATGTGATAATGGATTTGTAAGTGCTGCAAATGGGTTCCCTTGTCTGAATTGGACTGTCAATGCATAACCAAGATTACATGATTCACGTAAGAATAATTTAGTTGTGTTTTCTTACCTATAACCTGGCACAGGTTTCATCTTGATCAGATGATGGTAAGATAATGTGGGAATTCTTGCTTTACTTAAAACAACTATGGACTGGTGGTTGAAATGGCTTGAATAGAATTTCTTTTGCTGATGTAAGTTAGTTAGGATTAGGCACTGTCTAGTGTCTAATTGATACATTGAAGCAGCAGCTTCTGAATTCAGATTGAAGAAAATGGAATTCCAAGATAGCCTTTCTTAGTATTATTTTGTAATGGTCTATAGGTGAAGCACATACTTACTCTTTTTTTTTCCCTAAACAATTTATTTTGCTCCAATAGCATTATTCTCTTACTCAACACCATATAAGCAGAACTGGGTCAAGTACACTAGCTTAATGTTTCCACTGCATAATTAAATTTAAGTTTCTTCTTTTTCTTTCTTTTCCTTGCTTTTCTCTCTCTGTCTCGGTGTATATCGGTACTACATACGCTCTGCCATTGTGGTGTTTGTGGACTTAAATTGCTAAGTAAATGTGACACTAAATGCAAGTATTTCAAAATTTGCCCTTTATGTGACTTTGCTAGTATGTATTGCAGGTTCTAGGTGCTGAATTGGCTATGTTAGATGAAATTGATTCTGGGCTAGATGTTGATGCACTTCAAGATGTAGCTAAAGCAGTCAATGGGCTTTTGACTCCCAAGAATTCTGTCTTGATGATCACTCACTATCATCGCCTTTTGGAATTCATTAAGCCCAATTATGTTCATATTATGGTGAGCAAGTTGTTAATACCACAATAGAAAAGGGTAGAATCGAAATCAACTATCTAATTCACTATTGCATTTATTAGGAGAAATTAGCTATTACATTTAAATTCCATTTAAGAGGCCATGCCATTTTTGTGTTAGTGTATTCAGTGTTGTTATGCCTCTATTTTGGATGATGGATTTGTGATCAGTTTTCATGGATGACAAAATGGGGTTATTTTATTACAGTGAACCTTCAAAGCATGCACTGGATACATCTCATAGGTTATAATAATTGTTAGGATGTGCTTGAACCCATATCTCAATTCCAAAGGGGGAAAAAAAAAAAAATTGTTAAATCAACTGCCAGTGCCAGCTTTGTGATTTTGCAAACTGTCGGATCTGTTGGTGTATTTTTTGGGGTTTTAATTAACTATGTCAAGACTTTTGAATTTGGAAGGTATGCTTTTGAATAAGTCTATATGTGGTTTGTCCTTAATGTTTAGTGGCTAACTGATCGTTCTTTCTTGTCATGTTTTTACCATCTTTTGAACTGAACTCTTGATATATTCCGCCTTCGAAGCACATAATTTGTATTGTCGTCAATCAAATTCCATCATCTACACTTTAATAGGGAATTGTGGAAACTTTAGGTAAGTTTTTTAATTGCATCTTCATTCTTTTGGTTTGATTCAGAAATAATCATTTTCTTGTAGGAGAATGGAAGAATTGTGGAAACAGGAGATGTGTCGGTAGCAAAACGTGTTGAGAAAGAAGGATATAAAGCAATGTCTACCACATAAAACTGCAGGACAGTAAGTATTGTTACTCTCTCGTTTTACATTTGTTCTTGTTTCCGGTCATCGTTAAGCCTTGGGTTTACCGTATTAGATCTTTCAGTTTAAAATTTGCAACCTCTCTTTTTCATCATTTGTAGGGTCATAAATCAACAATTGATTCAATGAACAATGGAGGCAAGACATTTAAACCCCAGTTCTGAGTTGCTTGTGTTTTAATATAAGTTTTTTTGATAATCAAATAAGCCCACGTTAAGGAAAGATGAATCCATTTGGCTTTGACAAGGAAACCCTGGAATTGTATAATGTCCTCACTGCTTATCCAGTTTTGGCCTAACAAGGAAGTACTTGCACACCTTCAATGTTATGGTCATATAATTTTGTTTTGGCAAGTAACATTTGTTATGAGAAGACTATTGGTATTATTGTTCATCAAATAATGTGGATAAGGCTTCATCTAGTTGTGATATGATATGAGTTTGAGATATGTGTTCTTAAGCATTGCCTAATCCTATGTACAGATCTTCTATATTGCTCCACTGTTGAGCCAAACCTGAGAACATAGAGGCTGTTTTACCCTCAATGAATCGGACTGGGGCGGGGAGAATCTGAAACTTTTCATCCGTGGATTAGAATCTATGAATGATCTTTTTCAAGTTTGTCAATTTTCTTGCGATGCCTTATTTCTACCTCCGGATGTTCTCTTTCAGCATCTTTCTCATCCTCCCTTTTCAAGCGACGTTGCTGCCATTGCTTTCTCAACAGTATCTCTTAGTTCTGAAATTTGTCCAAAACAACAATGATATACTTTTTTGGGGTGGATAACATTGATATACATAAATTATAATTTTAAAAGGAAAATATTTGATAAATAGGAAATGAGAAAAATCATTGTAATAGTGGAGTGTAAATGAGAATAATGTGGTTTGTGATAGTATTTCACTAATCGGATTGCTTCAGTTTTAGCCGGGACCAATATCTTGTTTTCTTTGTTTTTTTCTTTCTTTTTTTAATCAATAAGAGAATAATTACAAATATGAGAAATATTTACATCATCAAATAGGTTATTAGTCTACAATAATTAGAAAGTCAACAAAACTTAACTAATATACGAAGTCTATGAACCCCAAGCTCACGCTCAACAACTCCCATAGGAGAAAAATAAAGGAATACCTTAGCTTTCCATTTGTTTCACAATGGTTTTAAGAACGCTATGACTTCAGACATTTGAAAATCATTTCCAAAATGTTTCAATTCAATGAGATGAATCAAATAAAATAACTCTGCGGTTATGCAACAACATGGGATAATGCAATCATTTGAATTATAAGTAACTTTTAACAAATCAACACGTTAAATAAACAACTCTACTAGAATCACCATGACACGCACTCTAATTCACAATTTTCTCAAGACATTTATCGTATTTTATGGCCATTAGCACAAATACAAATGGTGCACCCATCACGATATAATTCACAATATTCTCAATACATTTATCGTGTTTTATGGCCATAAGCACAAACAAATGGTGCACCCATCACAATATAAATCCAAAGTAACATAAACACATATTCTCATGTTTTACTGGCCACTGGCATGGAAGGCAAATGGTGTGCCCTTCAATTGCAACACGTATATATAAATAAACTAAACAATAACATAATGTAAGAAAAACTCGGCTTTGTCAAGTCACAGCCATTCACTTTACTAGGTGCTAGGTAGAGGGAACTTGTAACCCATCATTCGAAGCACAAATCACTTTACCAGGCCCTAGCTGGAGGGAACTTGGGACCCATCATTCAAAGCACATCTCACTTTACCAGACACTAACTGGAAAGAAATCTGTTCCTCTCATTCGAAACACGAACCACTTATCAGGTGCTAACCGGAAGGAACTTCGAACTTCAATATAGAACTTTCATCACATACACAACATAATCAAATCACTTTCATTTACATACAATTCAACAACATTATAAACACATAAGGGTTCAATTCGCCTAATTCCATAGCCATTCTACAACAAGCAATGCAATTCTCCACCGATTGCCAAACAGATATTTCTAAATGTACGAGCACGAAATAATCTTCTCGTATAATCCTGTTGATCAAGTTTGCACTCCTCCAAACGTTATCGCTTTACTACCTGAAAACACAAACGTGAACTGGCCGGCGGATGTGTGTCGAAAACCTCTCTGATGCCTAAGTCAACAAATAGACAATAGACACAAAAACTCTGTATATTTAAGAATAAGAATTGTGATACCTGTACATAAGTCCTATTACGAGGTTTTATAGATTCTTATTGGCACAATCCTAATAGGATTCCACCTCTCCTTATAAGGGTCCTCCTGGAAATCACACTCCCGAGGATAATGCTTATCCTTAGAATACCCTCGTCACCGCAAGCCAAGTGAGATGGCTCAAATCCCTTACCTCAGCTAATAATACGGTCAACTGAGCTAACATGGCCCTATCCTGAGCTAGACAAAACCAAGATGACGCTCTATCGAGCTGAATTCAGTTCGGCTCTCTGTATTGGTGATACCACGGCCTGCTCCCATACCACATCCAATCAACTAAGTCCAGGCTTTGGCCCAATTTCCCCTCAGCTTAAGACCGAACTTAAGTTCTTATCTCGGCCCACAACGCGGCCCAACGACCAGAGGAGATTCTACCTAACTCGGTTTAATTTCAACAGACGAACTTAGCTTGGCCCAATTTACACGTAAATTACCCTCTTAATTGCCCCTTAATTCCATCTACCCGGCATGATTGGGATTATTTGTCCTCTGGCCATGCTACAGTATTCATACCAACCAAGCTAGGGCTCGCTCAACTACCAAAATCTGCTCTGGTCGTGCAATTCGTCTTCCCACATTTCTGCCATCGTGTTCTGACCAAGACACGTGGCATACGGCGATTGCCCCCACCCTCTGTGACAACCGTCACATACTACCCCAAAATTCAAAAAGGCCCGCCTTTTCAACTTGTGCATATAATACCAACGCAATCGAAAAGCCACCTTCACTAGTCATTTGCCAAACTTCAATCCTAGCTCCTATTGTTGCAATCTGTCCATTGTTGCCACTGGTGAAAGCTGAATCGTGTTCTCATAATTAAACAATGAAGCACACCTGCTACGCGAAATCAGATTTGTCCTACAAACTGGTACGTTTCAAAACGCTATTCAACATTTTTGTTGATATTTGCTTGTTGTTATCTATGCTCTACGATGTTTCCATTCCATCACACCACTATCTATCTATGTTTTAAACCAGTAAACCCCTACAGTTTTGATCTAAAACCACGAACAACTGTTGGTAGTCTATATACATAAGTATGACCGGACTAGTGATTTCCTTCAAAACCAAACTAGCTCCCATGCCAATGGTTTAGACCGGGGTACACCCTACGTGTGTGTAGCTGAATTTAGAAGCCATGCCCTTCAAACAACTGAGCTAAAACCTGGACCACACTTTAGCTGAGCTACATGCGACACACACTCGCGCCGACAGAACAAATATGAGTCAACACACTGTTGCCTTAGCCCGGTCATCATATGGCCATAACACATTCTCTATTCTTCACTTTGCAGACTCAGACTAGGTTTATTTCAAGCACACCATTCACATCGGCCCCGAGCTAAGGAGCCAAGCAGATTATTTATAAACAAACTAAGACTGCAACCATGGGTAAATATTGATTTCTGGTGAGTTCGCCTAGTGCAATAGCCGAGTTTCGAAGGGACTACCAAATCCTTGACGATGTACAATTTACCCTCGCCAAGCTGGACACCACACCATGGGGCAAGCCTGGTTTCGTCCCCTTCACCCTTATATCCATTATAAAGAGTGGGCTTCGGTTCCCTATCCAGTCCCTTATCTTAGGCAAACCAGACTATACCCTACTCAATTATCCACTAATACATATAAAATAATAAACGGAATAGCCGAAATAAACTGCCGCCTCGGCCTCAACCTTGGATTGGCTGAGCTCTCTCACCAATATTCGCTCAGGCAAAATGATGACGGTTGGGTTTACTATCTCAGAATAAGAAAGGGCCGAGAAAAAATCATTAAAAGCACACCGGATAAAGACTTGAATGATGACCATTTTTTGTGGGTGTCTGGCAATTTCAAAGACCAGAATGCTCAAATACCGGGCTATAACATCAACAGGAACAAATGGGTGCCTGATGAGAATAACTCGGTTGCTCTTTCTGTGTTATAAAATCTGTTCTACTATTCAACCATACTAATAATTGTAATTCTCGCAGATTTGAACCGTTTGAAGACTGATTACGCTTACGCCAATCAAACGACACTACGCGTCGTGCTACGGTACCGCCACTGCGATTGGACCAAGCTATTAGGGGTTGAACCATCCTACTGCTATAGTGGCAAAAGAAAAAGCAAAGTTACTGATTTTCTGCTTGAGTTGTCGCTTGAACTGAACCCCAATCTTCTCCAGATCAATCTCATTCCTCTCACCGAAGAACAAGAAATGGCCAAAAAATGAGTCGTTCGTGCCCTGATTACCGAGCAGGCCTCTACTTCCAATACTGAAGTCCAGCCCAAGCTACAGCCGACTTGTTAACCACACGACGTAGTTATGGCCCTTCCATCCACCCGTGCCACTGTATCTCGGCTAAGCAAAAGTCCTCGCACTAGCTCTGCCGCACCACGACGCATGGTTGATGAAGACCTTGAGCAGCTAGAGACTAAGCGGGCTAAAACTGAATTTCCCAAGGAAGCCGAGGCTTCGGCCGTGCCAATCCTTCCTCAACTCTAATGTGGGCACCGGCCGTGACCTTCAAAGGCCGTGTTGTGACCACCCATGATTCCGTGAGTGCTGAGAAGGACCACTTTTTGGCTTTCAACTTAGCCAAGAGTGTCTGCCTGCCAGCCGACATGGAGCGACACACGCACTTGACCGAGCTGAAGGTGATTTGGTCCTCTACCAAGTCCCTTGTTTTAGTAAAATCGAAACTCTGACTAAATTTTACAATATCGTCTGTGTGGCTTGGCTAGCCGCTTTGTATGCTATGCAGGCCGTACAAAAGAACCAAGTTGCCCACCAACGTGTACTTGAGCTGCGAAGAACGGCTAAGGTGGTCATCACTGAAACAAGCTCCAAGAAAGCTAAGCTAAAAATAGTTAAGGCATCTCTAGCCGAGCTAACTACCAAAAAAGAAAGGCTGGCCGAGTTGGTTAGTGCGGCCGAAGTAGACAAACAAAAAGCCTTGGTTGAGAAAAAAGAACACTACTTGCGTGAACTTGCAAAGATAGAAAAGAAGAAGAATGCTGAGATCTAGGAGCTGAAGAAGAAAATAGAGGACGTAGAGGACCGGAGTTTCAATGAGGGGGAAGAAACCTACGTCCACAAATGTGAGGCGGCTAAAGACATCCTTTTCATGTACGGCTGGAAGGCTGCTGTTGAAAAGCTCAGCCAACCTCACGATTCTGAAATATTCCTGAATCCTCCTTCCCATTATA